TTTCATCTCTACCACTAATGCAACTTTCTTTTGTCAGAACTTCATTTACAATAAATTCCTTCTGACATAAAATAGAGCCACATGTTCTGATGGTGAAAATTAACATGATAATCACGGCTTCTGAATTTGAGCGGAACAGGCGAAATGGGAGATAACCTAGGCTGGTCACATTTCCTGGTAAGGTGACTCAGCAGTAGGAAAAAACCACCGTAACTTGACAGCAGAATTCCCACTGGTGTCCCACGTGCCCGAGACTGAAAGGCAGGAAAGCAGCTCAAAGATGCCCATCTTCCCAGATCCTTTCCATTAGACATTTAAAACCAAACCGCTGGTTCAAACATAACACCCCATTTATTTATCTACTCCAATTACTCGAAAACGAGTTCCCATTTGGATGAACAGAAGTCCCGCCACCCCCACCGAGCAGGACGTGTACAGGGTGGGTGCAGGATACGAGGGGTGCAAGCCCGGAGCCTGCTTCTGCAGACAGGGCTCCCAGAGCTGAAGGCTCTGCTTGAGCACGAGCCCAAGGCTCAAGGTGTGCGGAGGAGCAAGGAAAAGAGCAGAAGCATTTCAAGTTGCCAGTGGAGCAAACATTTCTGTTACCTGCATTGCCATAGGAGAAAATAATCCCAGTGGTGGATCAGGGCCAGACCTTGGAACAAAGCTGGTCCTTGGAATGAATTTTTACTCCTGCTAAACATGTGCATGCTTAACTTGATGCCCATGATTAATCCCTCGGCTTCAGGGATTTAGCTGTGGGTAACTGTGAGCACAGGCAGAAGTATTTGCAGAATCGTGGTCTACAGGAATGGAAATTTTCAAGCATGGCTGTTTCCAACAAAAAGCTTTCACTGTGACTGGTGCTGAGCTCCGTGCGAGTGTCTTGGTAAGCAGACCTATCAATAAGCCTTCCATCGTCAGGCACACTGGGCAATGGAAAAACCTCCCTGCTTGTGCTGCAGCCACTGAACTGCAGGAAAGCAGCAGCTCTCTCTAGGAGTGTGTGTGACTCTACTAATACCATCCTTGCTCACTTGTGTGGAAGAAAAAACAAGAGCAGAGTTTTAATGTAACACCAAGGATCTATTTCTAAAGGAAACTAGAACCATGCTATTTATTTTGGGGGTTTAACTTTTGCCAGGCAAAGTGTTTTGAGTTACTCCAAGAGCAGGACATTTTTATTTATGGAATTCTCTTAATCCATTCTAAAAATCCTCTGAGCTAAACCAGCTTCCCAGTACCCGAATCTCTCGGATAACACAACTCACCCCCAAGATGTTTATTTACCAATAACAATTCCTCTAGGCCAAGCTTACCGGCCGGTATCTTTATCCCAGGGATAATGCTAAATCCCCATCTGACAACCTTATTTCTCTTGGGGAATTACAAAGGCATGAATTTAGAAACACATTTTTTTGTTTCCACAACTTGCTCAAAGGAACTTTATCTTCCCAAGTTACTGGATGAACCAATTATCAAGAGACTGTCACAAGAATGAACAAAATGTTCCATCAGCAAGGGCCACTCAGCTTTGCAGTGACCAGAGGAAAGGCTGCTGGGACAAAGGATGGTGAGCCCAGACCCAGCCCTTGTTGCAAGAACTGTTCAGAAGGTACTCCCGGCTGCCAGGTCAGAGCAGGAGTGCTGTGTGGACATCTCCGCACAGTCATCCTGCTTAGAGTCATCTGGGACACACCGTCCGAGCTGTTAGTTCAGTGTCAGGAAGAATCTGGCTTCAATTTTTTCCCTTCTTTTTCTTCTGTTACTTCATTCCAGAAACAATGTATACCGAAGAGCAAACTTGGCTGGGGATTATTTACTTTTTGCTAGAAAAATAAAGACTTTTTGTAGAACTCCTGCTAACCCATATCAGATGGTGAACAAGCAGTTTCAGGGAGCCCGTGCAGATGGGAATTGCTGTCCTTACACTGGTGAGATTACTCTGGAAATCAACATCTATTGTGAAATATTCTTGAAATCAACCACTATTGTCACCTACTTACTCTGAGTGTGATGTAACAGGTCTTTGACAGATGGCTTTAAAGAGGATCAACCCAAACATGCTTTTTATTTTACAAGACTTTTATTCTGTTTCACAGATTTGACTATTACAGCAGTGAGATTATTACAAGTGACTCATAACATTTAGTTCCAAATAAAAGTAGAAAAACACAAAAATGATAAAGTTAAATGAGATGTGATGTGTGGCAAATGTATTTTAAGAGCACAGAAAAAGTTTCTAAAAATACACTAGGATCAAGAACTTTGCAGACAGGTTTTGATTTAGTTACAATTTTGACACAGAATCACAGAATGGTTGCGGCTGGCAGGGACCTCGGGAGGTCCAACCCCCCCCTGCTCAAGCAGGGCCACCCAGAGCCAGTTGCGCAGGACTGTGTCCAGGTGGCTGTTGAGTATCTCCAAGGATGGAGACTCCACAGCTTCCCTGGGCAACCTGTGTCAGTGCTCAGAGTAAAGTGTTTCCTCGTGTTCAGAGGGACCCTCCTGTGTTTCAGTTTGTGCTTCTGTCACTGGGCACCACTGGGAACAGCCTGGCTCCGTCCTCTTTGCACCTTCCCTTCAGGTGTTTATATACATTAATTAGATCTCCCGTGAGTCTTCCCTTCTTCAGGCTGAACAGTCCCAGCTCTCTCAGCCTTTCCTCACAGGAGAGATGCTCCAGTCCCTTAATGATCTTTGTGGCCCTTTGCTGGACTCTCTCCAGTATGGCCATGTCTCTCTTGTACTGGGGAGCCCAGAACTGGACACAGTACTCCAGGTGTGGCCTCACCAGTGCTGAGTAGAGAAGGCTCACCTCCCTCGACCTGCTGGCCATACTCTGTCTAAAGCAGCCCAGGACACCATTAGCCTGCTTTGCAGCAAGGACACGTTGCTGGCTCATGGTCAGTTTGGTGTCCACAGGACCCTTGGGTCCTTCTCTGCCAAGCTGCTTCCCAGCCAGGTGTCCCAGCACATACTGGTGCATGGGGTTGTTCCTTCCCAGGTGCAGGACTTTGCGCTTCTGCTTGTTGAACTTCACTAGGTTCTCATCAGCTCACTTCTCTAGCCTGTCAAGGTCCCTCTGGATGACAGCACGACCCTCTGGTGTATCAGCCACCCCTCCTCGTTTTGTGTCATCAGCAAACTCCCCGAGGGTACGCTCTGCCTCATCATCCAGATCATTAACAAAGATGCTGAACAGGACGGGACCCAATATTGACACCCCTGGGGTACTCTGCTAGTTACTGGCCTCTAACTAGACTTTGTGCCTCTATGCCCAACCATTTGGCCAGTTTTCAACCCACCTCACTGTCTGCTCATCCACCCCACACATCACCAGCTTGTCTATGAAGATCTGATGGGAGACAGTGTTGACAATGAAGGCCAGGCAGACAATATCTGTTGCTCTCCGCTCATCTACCAGGCCAGTCATTTCCTTGGAGAAGTTTATCGACTTGGTCAAGTATGACTTCCCTTTGGTGAATAATTTTTTGTCATTCATGTGCCATCGCCTTCCCCAGGGGTTGACGTGAGGCTGATGAGCCTATAGTTCCCTGAGGCCTCCTTCTTGCCCTTCTTGAAGACAGGAGTGACATCTGGACATAGGAGGTCGTTGGGTACCTCTGCCAGTTGCCATGACTGATCAAAGGTTATTGAGAGTGGCCTTGCAAGGACATCTGCCAGCTCCCTTGGCACTTGTGGGTGCACCCCTTCAGGGCCCAGGGACTTACGTATGTCCAGTTTTCTTCAGTATTCCCTGACCTGATCCTCTTCCACCAAGAGTACGTCTTCCTTGCTCCAGCCTTTCCCTCTGGTCTGTGAACCCCAGGATTCCTGAAGGCTGGTCTTGCTAGTAAAGACTGAGGCAAAGGTAATATTTGGTATTTCAAACCTTTTTCATGTCCTATGTAACCAGGTCCCCTGTCTTGTTGAGCAGTGGGCCCACATTTTCCCAGTCTTCCTTTTGTCACCTATGTTCTTAGAGAAGCCCTTCTTGTTGTCTTTGATGTTCCTGGCTGAATTCAATTGCATTTGGGCTTTAGCTTTCCTAATGTCATTCCCAGATGGTCAGGCAATGTTTCTGTAGTCCTCCCAGGTTACCCATCCTTGCTTCCACCCTCTGTATGCTTCCTTTTTGTGTTGAGTTTGGCTAGGAGCCCTCTGTTCATCCACACAGGCCTCCTGGCATTTTTGCCTGACTTCCTGCTCATTGGAATGGAACTCACTTGAGCTTGGAGGACATGATTCTTGAATATTAACTGGCTTTCATGGGCCCCTCTTCCCTCCAGGGTCTTATCCCACAGGACTCTTCCAGGCAGATGTTTGAAGAAGCCAAAGTCTGCTCTCCTGAAGTCCAGGGTTGTGAGCTCGCTTTTCACCCTCCTTCCTGCCCTCAGGATCCTGAACTCCACCGTCTCATGGTCGCTGCAGCCAAAGATGCCTTTGACCTTCACATCCCCAATGAGCCCCTGCTTGTTGCTGAGTATGAGGTCCAGCAGAGCACCTCTTTGTTGGCTCCTCTGTCACTTGGAAGAGGAATTTATCATCAGTCCACTCAAGGAACCTCCTGGATTGCCTGTGTCCTGCTTTGTTGTCCCTCCAGCAGATATGGGGGTGGTTGAAGTCCCCCACGAGGACCAGGGCCTGCTCCTATCTGTCTAGAGAGCCTGATCCACTTGTTCTTCCTGGTCAGGTGGCCTATAGCAGACCCCCACTATAGTGTCACCTCTACCTGTCCTCTCTTTAATCCTAACCTTTAAACTCTTGTTCAGCTCCCCACCCATCCCCAGGCAGAGCTCCGTGCGCTCCAACTGCTCTCTCACTTAAATGGCAACTCCCCTTCCTCGTTCTCCTCTCCTGTCCTTCCTAAAGAGCCTAGAAAGCCTACCACCTAGAAAGCACAGTATATTGAAAACTGTTAATTGGAAAGGTGATAAATCCAAGAGTATATAAAAGGCAAAAATGAAACAGAAAAACGAAAGGAGGATGTGTGTGTGAAGTCTATTTTATGGCAAACTTCCAGTCCTTTGGCCACTATAAAGCAAAGTCAGTGGATTTCATATAAATTCTCTGTATAAAGGAATGTCTATGAACTGTGTACAATATGGCCCAGAATAATCATCTCATTATCAGGCTAATAGAGCTCCTCACAGAGGAAAAGAAGGTGCTTACGTCGTGGTTTCATCTTCCCAGAATAATACTGTCCGGAATTGGACTAGTGCCCCAAAATACCATTTTAGGAACAACGTGAATTCCTTTAATGGAAAGGAAATGCAGTAACCCGTCGAGGCTGCAGAAGCAGGGTGCTGGGCAATGGCCTCACTACTGCACACTTGTTTTAAAGTTCGTGTGGTTGATTGGCAGGGGGTGAGCCTCTGTGTTGAACACCCAGTCGTCCAGGGACAGCACGTCATCTTCACAGAACAGAAGATAGAGGTACCTGGAGCCATAAGGTGAGGGTAGGCGGAAAGAAGATGGACACAAAGGGAGATTAAAGGAAACTCAAGTGGGACCCCGAGCACGCACAAGCAAGCTCTGTCAGCAGGACTGTGATGGGGGCTGCCACTGGCCTCAGCTGCCGCGGTTTATGGTGACACATTTCCTGACTCCTTGCTTCACTCTCCTGCTGGAAACTACCACCCCTGGTGCAAAGGTGGCAAAGTGGGATGGGCATCTGCACTCGTTAGTTCACACCATCAGCAAAGGCAGATCTGCACCAAGTGGAGGCAAATTCAGGCCACAGTCACGCCTCTGTGTGCTGGACATTGACCTGGCAGAGGAGACAGCTGTCTCTTAAACCATCAGAGCTAAATTCAAGGGAGCTCAGCAGTCAGAGCCTCCCACTTAAAGTGGCTCTAGATCACAGGAAGAGTCCTTTAAATTCAGGACAGAGTGCCAATGACAGCAGTGGTTCTACAGGAGGAAACTACCAAAGCTTTGCAGCACCCATAGCCCTGCCCAGCTTTCCCCGCAGAGGATAAGACTTCCCCCTTATTATTAGAGACTTATTAAGCAGACAAGAGTGTTGATGCTGCAGCAATTACACTACTGCGAAAGGCCTCTGTGATACTAGACTTACTTCAGAGTCTCTGCGAGGAAAAAACTCTGTTGCATGTTGTCATGGAGTGGAGGTGTGCTGTAAACATCTCGGATGCCAGAAAAACCAGCTTCTACTCTACAATGTTTTTCCAGGGCCTGAGAAAGGAAAAGAAATCTCAATGACACGCAATAGCATGGAGTAAGTCATTAATCATCATCAGCTGCATTACAAGTCAGTGTTACAAATCATATTCCAGGTTTACAGTAGCCTCTGTCTCTCACTGAAGAGCGTAGTGATTACTCCAGACTGCAGGAATAAAGCTAGTTCTGATGAAATAGCAAGAGAAACATAAACCGCCCAAGTTAGTTGATTGATTGGCCTTGACGTTACACACACAGCAAAAGCAGATCTGAAGTGGCAACTCCAGCTGCTTGCAGAGCCTCTTTTCCAGGGCAGGAGACAAGTGTCAGTTCTGCCAGGGAAACACAGCCCCTGCCAGGACGTGGAGCAGCAGCCAACGGGCTACGGCATGAGCTAGAGAGAGGTGAGGGACCTTCTGGCTGGGGGGTCTTTGCGGGAAGAAGACAAGACAAAGGGTAAAGACGGGTTTGCTGATTTTTCCTGGCCAGCGACAAACCAGTGGTTCTGAGCAGTCCAGATATTTCAAATAGAAAGCTGACTCCTTTTTGCAGAGGGCTGTTACATTAATAGCAGGTTTTGCTGTCTGCAGCACTCTGCCCCATAAACCTCCACTGTTTTGATTGACTGATTGATTTTAGCGTAGCCCAAATGGGAGAAGAAAACATTCAAAATGATCAACAGAGATGCCATGCTAAATTGAGCTATTCCGTGTATCCCTGCCCCACTGCTAATATGTCTTATTTAATAATTTCTGCTCTTTTTATTGACTGAAGGAGAGGTTTTTGTAAGAATCCAGCAGCCTGTAAGAGTTATTACTGCGAATTTTCCAAGCATACCTTCACAACCTCCCAGCCCCACTCCCTGTACTTGGGATCGTGTGTCAGCCGCCACATGTACATGTAGCTTTCCACCACTTCTGGGCGTAGGATGTAGTAGCGCTCGCTGAGTCTGGTTGCCATGGCTTCAGTTCCAGCATCAAAGCGAAAGGCTTCAGGGCCGAGTTTGGTATCTGGACAAAATCACACACGTGCAATGATCAGTTTGAGGAGAAAGCAAGTAAACAGACTGTCCAGGTGCTTCTACACTGCTCAGGCTGCCAACACCCACCAATCCCAGAATGGTTTGGGTTGGAAGGGACCTTAAAGTCATCTAGTTTTTTTTTGCCTTTAAAGCCATCTAGTCCCACCCCCCTGCCATCGGCAGGGACCCCTCCCACTAGACCACCAAAGCCTCCTCCAGCCTGGCCTTGAACCCCTCCAGGGACGGGGCATCCAGCAGGGGTTTGGTTCACAATTACCACTCCACCAGACTGAGCCATTTCCCTGCACTGCAGCAGGGAGGCTGTAAGAAGTGGTACTTGGGACCTGCCGTCACTTCTGCCTTTTCTTCTGGTCCAGCAGCAGCCTCTTTGAAAAGAAGACATCAGGATGATGGGGAAGGCTTAACCAATTTCACTGGTATTTTATCAATAAAATATTAAGAGTACCTTGGTCTTTTTGAGTGTCCCTTAGGTGAGAATCTCAATCTCTCACAAGCATTAGCGAGCACTCACATCCCTACTTTCAACACCAACCCTCTTCCTATTCAAAAAACAGGGAAACTGCTTATTGATCATGCTGCAAGGTTTCTCTTGCTATGTCTACCACAAAGCAGTGTTTCAGGGATTCATTTTATTTCTCTAAATATTTTGCACACCTTCCCTGTTTGCGTGGGGATCTAACTGTTTGCTAGTTGGACTGTTTGCTGAGAGCCAGGGTGACATGCACAGACATTCTCTGCAAAACAATGAGCTCGCTGAAATGACAGCACCGTCACCAGCGTGGGCAGGCTTGCTGCTGTCCTTTCTATGCTGATGGATATTGCTGAAGGTGAAAATTGGCTCCAGGCACTCCCAACCAGAGGGTTATTAGTTCGGGTGGCTTGTTTTAGTTCTGTAAGTGCTGGCGGAAAAAAAAGAATTATTTGCACACATCATTTCAGGTTAGCTGGGAGTTTACTGGGCAAACATGCTGGGCACCGGCTGCCAACACGGGCTTGCTGATGTGGTGAAGGTGTGAAACAATCTTTGGGAACAGTTAGAGCAGACAGACCTGTGCTTGACAAGGTCCTGAAAAGCAGACTGCTGCTTCGCTGTCTGCAGCCTCAGAAGAGCTACAGAGATGCCTACAAAGAAGAGAGCGGTGTCCACAGCGAGCTCATCTTGTTGAAAGCCCTGCAGGCAGAGAACTAACCCAGTCTCTCATCCATCACCAGTTACTGCTCTCCCAAAGCACTGACTGAAAAGCACTTCGGGTGCTTCATTTTTTGGTTTCCTACCAGCAGCTGCAGGTCTCCAACACTCCCCTGTTGGGTTTCTCAGCTGCTCTGCTCCATATAGTGGGACACCCTGCAATGAATCTCTGTTTATCTCCCCTTCTTGTCTGCAAAGGATGTGAAAGGACAGACTCAATCTCTAGCCTTGTTGGGAGAAGGCTAGCTCTGTGACTGGGAGGCTGGACTAGGGTTCAGCTCTGGGTTCATTTCCCAGCTCTGCCCCAGGAGCTCACATCTGCCGGTCCCTCTGCTCCAGCTGTCTGCTGTGTAGAACATACTGCTTTCTCTTCTAGATATCCCAGAAAAGACAAGTAAAAATCATACACAGGGATGCAGATGCTGCTGAAGCACCAAATACCCTCCCGCAAACCTCTGCCACACAAAAGCTGAGTCTCCTAAGGCTGGAAGCTCTCTCTTACTGATATTTTCTAGGCAGCCCACAGGTTTACCTGAGCGTGCGTAAGACTCGTGACATGTGTTTGTTATTTCTGCAGCGAGATCCACGTAATGTTGCTTCCTCTCTTCTCCAGCGTGTTCAGCTCCAAGCGCTATCATGCCCCCAGAGAAGCAGGCCAAGTGGCCCATTTTGTGCTCCAAGACGCCACCCCTCCATTCAGCAATGTAGGTCAATCCTCCAGCGGACTTTTTGACCAAATGCTTTTCTATTGCCTAAAGGGATGAAAACAGGATTTCAGGATACTTAGTGGACAGAGTGAGGAGTGAATACCAAGGAAAGCCAAAGATCTAAGACATTTTTGCCTGAAACATTCTGATGATCCATGTCCCACACAAAAAACACAGAGCAGCAACCTGCTCCTTACTTACCTCTAGTGCATCGTCATACATCTTTTTAGCTTCGGTGTCTTTCTTGTCTGACATCAGCCAAGATTTGATGAGATATTCATAAAAGCTGTCCCCAAGCCCCCCAATGGAGACATGGTCTGTAGTGGGAAAACCAGAAAAGAATTTCAGGTTCATGGCATACAATGAGCAGTTGCTTTACAAAGAGCAAACAACTATGTCCTATTTAATGCCCTTGTTCTCTCTTTCCTCTCTCCAGTTTCCTGGGGAGAGCTTGCAGCATTTCCTTTTCAAAAAGGAAGAAAGGTGGAAAGTGCAATCAGAAGAAAAATGTTCTGTCATTTTACAAACCACTACTATCCCTTACCAAAACTATTCAGAGGTCGTATTTGCAACCGTTATTTATACTGCAACTTGAAGATGCTTCCTGTTTATGAAGCAATCATCATAAATCCCAGCCTCGCAAACCAAAAGCAATGGCAGGTATTGATAGATCTCTGCTTATATGAAGCCCCTGGGTGCTGCCTCCCTGCCTCAGGAAAGGGAGATCGCACGCTGGGTCACAGCGAGCTGCCAGCCAGGGGCTGCCGTAGGGACCTCTCCGTCATCCCATCTGTATTCCTGGCTCATGGTGCGATCCTGGGCCCTGGGGAAGGCTGGGGTTGTTGGCGTATTAAAATGATAAAGTCAGGTACGAGGATGTGCACTGAATATTTTCTTCAGCAGAAATCAGATTTTCAAGGCTATCTGTTCAGAGTACACAATGCTGTGACCTTACTGGAGAGGAGGATGCTGAGGAATTGCACTGAGAAATGGGCATGACAGCTGCAGGTTTCTGCCTGGGGGGAACTGCTGGATGGATTTGTATCTTTAAACTATACCGCAGGGAGAAAAGCAGCACTCATTCTTTCAAGCAGCCAAGTACTCCCCTTTTTAGAAGGGCAAGACAAATTACCCACCGTGGACTGAAGCATCCCTGTTAATTAACAGTGCCCACCTCTGTGTCTGCATGCATCCCCGTTTTAAACGTAAGCGGATGCAGCAGGGTTTTCGGAGTTAGCTGTTTGGATTTTTATTTTCCCTTTCACTGGACATATATAAAGTCCTGAGGCTTATTCTAAATGCTAAACCCTACCAACAGAAGAGATCAACAGCCATGCATTTTCCTGACCTGAAGAGCAAATATCCCCGACACAGTGTGTCCAATGATCCATGGAATAATCCATAGCAAAACAATGAGATTAGGCACATGAATTAAAAAAAAAAAGAGAGGACAGACTATTTGCAAACACCGGCTGCACAGCCTGTCTTTAAAGAGAAGCTCTGTGATCCTAAGTGTGTCATTCATAAAATCACCGAAGCAGGAGCTCTGGTACATAATTGCTTTCCATATGGCATCAGCTTTGCCAGCGTTTGCCTCCTAGGCACTTTGCATAAACAAATCTCTTATTTCAGCAGGGGACCATGCTTTAATTTTCTAAAGGTAACAACTGTGCTCAGAAGAGGTGCAGCACTGCCTCTTCATTTAGAGGATCTGCTCATTCAGCCAGGTCAAAGATACACCTTTTAAGAAAATCACAGCAATTCCAAGAAAAACAGCTTCCTGCAAAGAGCTTTAATGACAGGAGAGAAAATGAGAGCTTGGCACCTACAGGGAACATCTCAGTGGCAGGCTGCAGCTGCCTCCCGACTTTGGTCCTAATCTATTTCTCACCAGCAGCACTGGAGGTGCAGAAGAAGCTGATCAGCCTTTTCCCTCACTGGAGTACGGAGTCAGAGCACAAGGTCATCTTCTGAGCAACTGCCACAACCAGCCTGTGCCATGAGCTGCCCTCGTGGCGTGAGAGTCTAGGAGAGAGGTGTTCTCTAGTCCTTCTGCATAAATCAGCCTGTCCCCGAACAAGGACTCAGAGGCTACTTTTACTGAGCTCCAAGAACCAGACACAGGCTCTACATGTCAGCAAGGGAGCAGGTCAGTACGATGAAGTCAAATTAGCAGACATAAATAGAATTAAATTAGTGGCAGAAGAGATGAACACTGAGTATTCAAGCTGAGTATCTCAACCATCTGAATTAAGAGCACAGCTCTTCAGTTTCCCAAAGATTCTGTAACGATCGGTTATGGCAACAGACAGGCACTTCTCCTCCTCTCAGGACCAATGAACAGGCAGAATTATTGCTTGTGTCTGGGAAAATGTGCAGCGTGGCTGCCAGTTGGGAATAACCTAAAGAAAATGGCATCTCAGGAGTGCGGTACGGGACGGGAGATTAGCTCTTTGAGTGGAACATACAACAACTCTGCAGGGACAAGTGGAGGGGAAGCTGAACTGCTTACAAAGAGGTTGGTAACTTTGAAGATCAATTAACAGGACAAACACAAAAGCCTATTTTCTTTCCTCACAGCACCAAAGGACAGCTCTGGTTTAATGGGACAACTACAACCATCCAAGATGCTTTGCTGGGACACCTTTCAAGGCCAGCTCTGTCAATTACCACCAGAGGTGCTGCTACAGCAGTTAAAGGTCAGGGATTGCTCACAGCTAGAACTCTCTCACTGTCTCAGATGATGGCAACCATGCAACTGCCTGTCAGTTACCACCGGAGCTATTAATGCAGGAGTTAGAAAGGTGTGGAGCCACCTAGTACAGAGCCACGAGACATGGGGACACAAGGGAATGCAATAACTCAAAGAAAACTGCTTAAACAATATAAATGTAATCCACTGACAGGTTAAAAAGAGCTTCTGAAAAATATACTTTTCTTTGCTTTGACACAAAAACACAAAATCCATCACCTCTCCCTTGCCACAACAAGCAAATCCTTAACAGAGCGGGAAGCTGAGGTCAGAGATCTGGGGCACAGCAACAGAAGTAGCCTCTCATGTTCCTGCCAAGAGGGGAAGCTTCTGCCCTTTGGTGGCACAAAAAGAGGGGCAGAGTCTCTCCTCTGGGTAAGGAAGGGGCTGTGTGTGTAAGCAGGAAATAATAATCATTCCTTGGCTACACCGCTCCTAATATTTCCTTGCTCTTTTCAAGCCCTTTCCTGGTAACTGCTCCTCTTTCCTACCAGAGCAGTATCTATTTAAGGTCCATGTCTTGAGAGCCGGCCAGTGCTGGGTTCCCAACAAAAGAAAGAACACACTTGTCTCACCCTTCTTGCACAAAATTGCCCTACGCAGAGGTGCCATGGTAACAGGCACACGAATGCACACGAGAGAACGCATCCCTAGATCCTGCAGGAATCTGAGACTCTGTAAGCCCTCTGCCTCTCCAGGTGGTTCCTCACTTGCTGCAGCACGCTGGGGAAGGAAATCTCATCGTGCTTCTGCTCACAGCCTTCACCTGCAACTCCCAGGTGGTCTGTGGCCTGTGTGATGACTGCAGGATGAGGTCTTAAAGACATGTGCTGATTTCTAATATCTGTGTGATGAACCATGTAACATTACCCTCTCCCGTGCAAGAGAGGCCCTAATTCTCTCTGGAGGTGAGACACTCAGCTGGAAACAAGGCTGATGGAGTAGGTACACAATGACTATATTGCATCTTACAAATCGGTTGCATTATCTAATCACATGTATAACAGCCTGCCTGACAAGACATTTCTTTGGCTCGCTGCTCTGACAGTTGCTATTGCTTCCTAAAGAATAATGGAAAGACTGAAATGCTCCAGGCAGAACTCTGAACACAAAGTGATACCTACGCTGCACCCAGTTCCCTGTCACCGGGCTGAGAAAGTTGGGATAAAGGCCCTGTGGCTTCTCAATTCTGTTCAGGACTTTGCGGATGTTCATCACCTAGGAGAGATGAGAGACAAGAACTATGTTACTTCTCTGCTGAAAAAGCAGCCAACGGTTTTGCACTGTCACCGAGAACTCTGTAATTCATCAGCGCTGCTCCCTGGCTGAACAAGCACAGCGGTCTGTAACACAGTGAATCATCATGCAAGCCGAACCCAATGACACAGCTCTCCGGCGAGAGGGCTCGTATGGAGAAACTTTTCTGCTGGACTCCTCAGCACAATCTTTATCCAGCTCTGTGGGATTGCAGACATGATTCTAAAAACCCTGCGAGGCCTCAGCTCAGCAAGCAGTGGAAGCAGTTTGCTATCAGTGGTCTAGAAGCAACCCTGAGGATTTGGGAGCTGGGTGGAAATGTCTGAGATGCAGAGGGTGATTTTTTCCGTGATCCAAAAGGAAAGGAGCAGCAGGGATGAGTGACTCACACAGTACTTAAATTTACCATGTGGTCACTTAACATGATGAATCGGGGCCTTTAATGTCAACAACAGAGAGCTCCTTTAATACGCCAGAACAGCCGTACTTATGCTCTAAAACCTCCCTTGGTCTCACCCCCATTAAATCCAACAGGCCTTTCCCATCAGGGACGAAGTTAAATGGTATGCAGCATAAATATTCTATTGTAACCTCCAGAGCAGCTAATACACTCTAAACCTTTTATAAAATTAGACAATTTGTATGCCAAAAGCTCACTTCAGACTTAAGTCGGTGCTTCCAAGTAAGTCGTCAGGCTGCATAATATTTACTGAAGTTTAGTAGCACGGCATATTAATGACACGTTTGAGTAAAAGACGCAGATGGACTTTATTCTTGCTAAAACCACACAAGTCCCAAGCTGCAAGTTAATGAGTTGATCTGTTCCTCTGAAGCAATTTCCCACAGGATGGGCTGTTTGAGCCCACATCATCCTACAGTTTTTTCTCTCAGAGGGTGTTGGGATGAACGCGATACATTTTCTGCGGCACACACCAGGCACGCTCAGCTCAGGAGAGCCCATTGGAAAGGTTCTGCCCTTATCCCTCTACGAGCTTTGGAGGCAGAGAGGAAAACATGTTCGGCTGGGGACAGAGGCTTAACCTGGGCTCAGAACACCACAGTTTGAACCTGGGCTCTGGATGCAATTCTAGTTTTTAAGGGTGCATCTTCTTGCCCTTGTGTTTTCAGTGCTCATCTCTCTTCCCCCCTCCTCCATTTCCTTCACACACATTTTCTTTCCACATTACTGTTCCCCTTACTGGTCTTTTCTCAGCTCCCCCCTTCCTCTGAGCAATTTGTCATGATCACTGTCCTCAGGAATCTTTAGCTTGTCTCTTTTATTTCAAATCACCAGCCTGTCTCTGTCTTCCCTGCAGAGTTTCCTGGGTTTCTAGCTTCCTTTCACCCTCTGCTTTTCCCTCCTGCTCTCTGTGACACTCCTCTTGCTCCCCACCCTTACTGCTTTCCACACACTCCATCCTCGTTTCCATTTTGCTCTCTTAGCTTCTTCCTTCTCTTTCTTCCCATCTCTTCTTCAAATTCTCTTCTTGTTTCACAACTGACAGACCCGCACTGCAAATATCCTGGAAAAGTACCATTTTGAGCTTTTTATTGGCAATCCCAGAACCACTGTCTGTTCTCACCCCACTGGGGGACTCTGGACAGGCCCCATTTCCCTTGGGCTCACGGGGGCAGTTTGGATTCTAACTGGAACAATTTGTCTCCCTCAAAGCTGCGTCCTCAGGGACATGCAGCGAAAGTTAATGACTTGCTGGTATCCAACAGCATATTTATTAAGTTGCTACTACAAGATCACTGGTAGAAAAAAAGACCTGAAGGTAATGTATAATATTAATAGATTTTCAGTTACAAGTTACACAAAAGGAATCCAATATGTCAACTGTCAGGCCTTTCCTACACAAGAAACCTCAGCAGAAATCTTGCTGGCTGAAGCATAACATTTAATGCCTGTTTAGAGTAAAAAGGTCTGCAAGAACAAGGCACTACTGTTAGGATATGAGAATTAACAATTATCTTTGCAGCCTGCATCCAACAGACAGTTTAATTTTGGCTGTGCCCTTGGCTGGGTAAGTTTTTGCTACAACTTCACACGACATTGGGAAAAACATCCCCATCTACCCCGTGGCTGCAGGCGATGGAGAGGGAGGGGAAGGGGCTACAGCAAATTGTAAATGGCCAAAGAAAACATGGGGGCAGCTGCCTTCCATGGCCTCCTGGGGTGATGGGATCTCCAAGAGGAGCTCACCGTGACCTTCCCAGTGAGCTGGTGCCTGGGATGCTCTGAGGCGTGGCAACCTCTGCACCCTGCAAGGCACAAGCTTCTGAACCCGTGTCCCACTCTGGAAGGTTTCTCCTCTGGTCAGTTGTACTGGTATTGGGGACAGGGGACACTTTGCTGGCATGTTGCTTGCTGCAGGCAGACCACAGTGCTGCTCTGCTCCAGCGCTGACCCCGGGACTGTGCAGAGACCAGGTCACTAACAGCGAGCTGAGAAGTACTTGCCTTTTCTGCAAACACTGGGTTGCCAGAGAGCTCCGAGAGGTGCAGGAATTCTAAGTGCAAGGTGCCAAATTCTGCTAAGATGCTGCTTCCAGCAGATGCCCAACCCCAGCTCCAACTCATGCCACTGCAAGGAGAGAAAAGGGAGACTTTATTGCCAGGAAAACACAGCCAAAGCCTGAGGTCCCCCCACCGCCCCAGTGCAGATCCTGCCTTTGCTATGGGCATGCAGCACACACCAGGTGTCAACGGGGGCCGCGTAGAGGACGTACACGGATTTTAAGGACTCTGTCATGGAACACTTCTAGTGGATGGTCTTACCAAGGATTGCTTAGGATAGGGCAAACACACAGATGCACAAACTGGCAAACTGCAGTTTTTGTGGGAGAGTAATCCCTCCTGGATAGATCAGCTTAAAGCAAACTTTGGAAGAACGTGGAAAACCTGCCCTACACAGGCCACTTTGGGATAAAAACATGTCTCTAAGTAGCCTGGGCTGAACTCTTGCATCTCAAACATCCCACAGGCCCAACAAGGCTGCTATTTTATGGAGAATCCAGACTGTCCCTGAGCACCTTGTTTCAGCAAGATCTCACACTTTTTATATGTACGCGACAGCGACATTCCCAGCGTGTGCCTGGGGATGAGGCGTACCGCAGCATCAGCACTAGGGGAAAGATGCCATTTGGCAAAGCTGACTGTAATGAAAAACCACGGGGAATCTTAGCACCTGCACAGGGCAAATCTGACTCTGAAAGCACCCCACTGGCGCTCATCTCATGTGCCTTGCAAGAACAGGAGGGTCAGCATGAACTACAGAAGGTGGCCAATGCTGTCTGAAGCAGCCAGTTATACAAAGTGCCTCTGCCTCTACTTTTGACGTACTGGGATCCCTTTTCAGTTCCTGTTTGTCTCCTCTCACCCTGCCAAATCCATGCACACAGAGAAATCAGCCCTGAAGAAAAGCAAGGAGTTGATTCTGGGGCTGAGGAGGGCATCACTTCTCCCTTAAATCTCAAAGAAAACCACCCAAAGGACACGGGAGGGCAAAGGTTCTTCCAAGCACCAACAGCCTCACCCTTGGATCTGCTTTTACATTCGACCACTTCCTTCTGGCATCCCACTGCTACAGAGTACAGCTCTGTGCCTCTCTGAAATCTGCACAGACAGAAAAATATTCCATATCCTTAAGCCTTGGTCCCAAAACAGCCGCTGCAGGTGCTGGCCCAGGGAAGCATGGCTGGGCCATCCGAGAAGTGACGTGGCTTTGATTTTCCTGTCTCTTTGGGAGCGCTGTTTGCGATTGATGCTGATGAGGTAAGAAATTTCCAGCGCTGGGGGGGCAGGGGTAACACTAGATGGCGTCTGGAAGCTTGGCTATTAGAAGAAAAAGGTTTCTGTTGTTTACAGGAGGCTAAAACTAATGATCTTTCAGAGGGGGGAAAAAAAAGTTTCCCCTCCATGTGATATACAGAAAACCATTTCAGGTCCAGAGCTGTTTGTTTCGCCTCCAGACAAAAAGAGCCATTAAATAAGCAATATGTTCACGCTGTTTCAAATTGCTCAGTCACTGCCAAGCATCAGCCTTCCCTGCAAACCGTCAGGAGGTTGTTATCGCCAGCAAATACTGTATGCAGTGAAAATGGGTACCCCAATGACATGGAGTGTTTATGGCAGAAATCTCCCCGTGCGGGCAGAAAGGTCCTCCGGTCCGACCAGGTTAATGCTGGTATTAATATCTCATAGGACGTGTCTGCTGAACTGGGCAGCAGCTGGCCCCGGGATGGGAGTGCTAAACAATCCCACCGTGTTCTCCTATCTATAAAGAGTGAATTATTTTTTCGTTATTTACTGCACTGAAGGGATGTTGTAACAAATACGATCTCACAAACAGGAACTGCCTTCTGAGGTGGTTCAAACGAGGAGTGCTTGAAGCAGCCAAATGGGGCCGTGTTTGTTGTGACAGCGGCTACGTGGGGTCACAGCGGCTGGCACAACCCTCCCCCAGGAACTTCCAAACACACAGCCAGGCGAGGACCATGCTGCTGGGAACCCAAGCCCTGGGTTACAAATCACAGTAAAACCCACGGAGCGGTGGTCTGGAGGAAACAGAGCACCTCTGCAATGTGTCCCCGGGTTAAAGAGCAGCCTGAAATGACCCCCCTGCAGGAAAACATTTTTTCAGCATTACAGACTGGAGAAACTGGCTCTTCAGCTGCCCTGTTTTCCAATATCTCAGAGGAAACTACCATTTTAAAGGCCCTTGGTCTTCAAAACAAAAGAAAATGCCCAGAGATCTCTTTATCCCCCAGATAAGTGGGTCTTCTGTAAATGCTGTCCAGTGCAAGCATGGCCTGACAACGGCTCTGTCATCTCCTTCCCCCACAGGAATCCACAGCAGCAAACCAGTGCCAAGGCAAGAGAGACCAGGAGAGGATGATGAGGTGCATCTGGAGGTGCAGAGGGTTTAGGGGGGTGTGAAGGAGATCAGGGGCCAGTGACACAGAGCAGGAGGCATGGGGAGAGAATTCACAGTGCAAGACACAGGCAGAGAGCACAGAGCAGCTTGGGAAGACAATGGACCCTAGGACCTGGCAGAGAACATGGCAGCTGGACCAGCAGGATGGAAAACAAGCCTGTGCGAGATACGATACAGCGCCTGTGTGAAAACAGACGGCCACAGGGAAGCACATCAGCGGAGAAGGGACACGAGAGGAAAGGGTGGTGTGAGGTGGTAGGAAGAGATAAAGCCAGCTGGCTATGGGAAGAGCTGGGGGGGTGGGTATTGCTGTACTTGGGTCCTCAAAAACGTACACACAGAATTGACTTAATGCCAGCTTCTGTTTTTTTTTCAAATTTCTGGATGTCACTCTTAACCCGCCCCCCCAAGCTACCACCAACAAAAGCCTACACATGCTGCAAGTCTCTCCTCCTTCTGAGATGATGAGGTCTCTCTGGAATTAGCACATCCTTGCAAAAGTAGAATTGGAGAGAGAATTCCTTCTTGGCAAACTCTTCTGGGCTTTGGTTTGACCCTGACACTTGGGGTGTGCTCTCACAGCATCATCTCACTCTCCTCTGCTTCCACTTCCACACACCACCTCACACTGAATAACTCCCTTCCCCTTTGGGTTTACAGCCTCTGGCTGTTCATCGCGTTCCTGCAGTAGTCAGGCTACAGATTTAGCTTGCTTCATCTTTGCTCCTAAATCAATGGATACTCTGAGCCCTCGCAGCAGTTTCACGGCCCTGAAGCCAGAGCTCAAGCTGGTAATACGGGTTCTGGACTGCGGGCTCAGTGTTAGTTTGATTTTCTTTGCTCTTAGTCAAGGTCATCAGCAAAACATTTTGGGAATGTCTAGGCAGACACAGTCTGTTTCAATTGTCTTCACAAAGGGCAGGGGAGGGTTTGGCATTTCTGTGAAAGGTTAGTCTATGCCGAGCCTTTATCAGCCACAGAGGAAGTCTCTTCTGTAAAAAGATACAATTAAAGTCATGGTGATGGCTCAAATTTTCACGGGGATCACGTGCAAACAAGACAACTGAAGGGTGACAGTGATATTTGGATCAGTGTGAGCCAAACATCTGAAAGTCTTGCACTTCACAGAGACACGAGCCAAGCAGGAGATTTGGGCTAGGAGATGAATAATAATTTTCATGGCTGCTACTCCGAGTTTTGCAAGAGGTGAGGATGAAAGGCTTTTGTTAACCCACATTTGCTGCTCTCTCTGTTTCAGCCGGCATGCAGCTTTTACCCTGGGGGATTTGTCTGTAGGCATCAAAACGAGCCAATGAGCCCTTACTGGCAGGGAACACTGTCTACTGGCAAGAATCGGAGACTGGGAGTCCAGCCTCCAGGTTTGCCTCTGTGTGCTGAGAGACCTTCAGCAAGATATTTAACCTCAAAGCTCCTCTCCAGCATGAGAACACCACCTACCTGACATGAAATGTTGAGGCTCTAAGTGAAGGATACACACCTGGCTGAGTGCTGCTGGCAGGGAGAAAACTAGAGGGTCTGTATACTCCCCCTTTTCTAGCCGCAGAATTGTCAGCCAGTCCCATGCAGTTCCTCACCCAATTTTTCCAAACATGGAGCCTGGATAAATTCACATGCACCTAGTTGGGCATAGTGCAAAAATCCAGAGAGCACCGCATGCTATGTGCAGACTACAAATAACCTTTCAAAGAAAATGAGAGTGAGGAAAATGCTATTGCAGCAGGGAGCCCTGCCAAGAGGTAGAGGAAGAAACTGCGGATAGCCCAAAATTAATAAAACACAGCTGGGTTTAACTTGAGTCACCTGCGATCTCTGCCAAGGCACCTCTTGGTTTTGAGTTGGCAAAACAAATGACCTCGAAGAATCTGCACTAGAGGGGGGCACCTCTGAGGAACTGCTGCTGTTCCTGCTTGAGTCCTGGTCTTTTACAAACATTCAGTAATAAAATGACATGCTTGTAAGGACGTGTGTCTTGCCTGCCCAGATTTATGACGCCACGTGGGATACCAGTGGGGGTGTTAAAAGCTGGCAAAAGTTTTTCTCCAAGTTCCAGAGCTTTACTCTTGAACACCTGTTAAAAGAAGAAGAGACAATAAATATTTGATGGGCTGCTTGTGAATACTAGTCACACTGGATTCTTTCAAATCCCCCTTTTCAAACACAACATTATAAAAAACTACAAGTGCTGCACTGTAAGAATCTACCATTTCAGGTATGCTGCTGCCCTACTTCCACTGCACAATAGATCTGAACCAGAAGTCATGCTGAACTTTGGTATCCATCTGAATGTCCTCTGAAAACCAGCCCCAAGTTTCCTGCAAAACCCTCAGCCTGGATGAGAGCCGCCAGAGCACCCCAAATACCTCAGCAGCAAATTTCAGTTATCTGAACCGATCCAAAGAGTGTCCTTTGAGGTCAAATTCTTCCCTTTTCCCAGGGTGGTAGAGGACATAAGGAGGTGCAATGACAGAATTAAAATCAAAAGAAATCTTTCTAGGGTGAAGCACTGTTAGATTTACAACATGGGTTTGTCTAGCTTGTGTCACCTCCTGTTGCAAAAAACATGATTTCCAACGAACAATCTTTTACTTGCAACTCTCTTCCACGAAGGATTCATGGTTTCAGGGCTAAGCTGCTCCTTTTCCATTTTTAATGCCTGACTTTTGGGCTTTCAAATCAAATTATAGCTCGTGGCCGCTTGCAGCACAAAGCCACCATACACAATTATTTAGGGACAAACTGATACAAGCACTAATCTTTGCTCCAGAGATTAGTCCTGATCAAGGGAAGCCTGTAAATGACTTAGGAGATAAAGCACAAGCCTTTTACCTCTAGCCCCCCTACACCAGCCCAAGCTGTCAGAGTAGTTCTTACAAAGCAGGAATTTATTGCTCTAAAAATACAGCACTGAGGAAACCTGAGCTCTCCTGTGGGCTTCCAGACCTTTGATACACTCACAAGGAGGTAGGGGTTTGGTTCAGAAGAGAAAGCAAGAGACGGGGACTTGATTTTTGCCTTTCAGCCTGGTGACAGTGGGTACGTGACACACACTGCCCTGGCAGCTGAGCATCACTGCTGACTGCACTTCAAGAGGTCACTGCTGGAGTTTTATGGTTTAATGTGGTTTCTTTTTGCTCTGTTGATCTGAAGCCTGTTGAAGTTGTGACTGAGACAGGCCCTGAGTCAGGGCACTGAGTCTTTGAGAGTTTTCCCTGGAGGGAAATCACAGGGAGAAGTCATTCCTGGAAGTCATTTAAAATGCAACTAAAGGAACAGAGCTGCTCCTGTGACTCCACGGATCAATGGTGCCACTATGCAGTGACGAGCTGTCCCATCCTATTATGGTGGACAGCACCCAGCCACGGTCAGGGTACGGCACGGGGGCTAAGCTCTCATTTAACAGCCAGTCTTACAGTTCCTTCACTCACAAAACTCCCCCTTGAATTAGAGCTTCTGCTCGCCTAAGACTTCCAAGGCAAAGGAATAATCTCTTCATCTCCCTACAGCCAGCTGTAAAATTCCAGTCCAGCCACACCACAGAGCAGATTATGGCATTAAACCCTGGCCTCTGCCGGGCTGCAGAGAAAGAAGGGAAGTGGAAGCGAGAGCCCCCTGCTGCAGCCAGGACTCCTGGGGGACGGGAGCACCCACTGAAGGGCTGCGCCGCCACGCCACGGGAGGGGCTGGGACACCTAGCCCACACCTACTGTGCAAGGGGACATTTTGTGGAGCTGTATCCCTTTGTCACACGAGCTGGCAGGATACAGGTACCCTGCCCTGGCAGACCTTCCTTCCCTGTGCCCAGGGGGCTTCATCTTGGAAACTACTGCAACAGAGAGACTGTCTGCGTGGGGTTTGGAGCACTGGCCCTCCTTAGTCCGAGGCAGAATCTGGAAGGATGTTTGATGAGATATTACCTACGTTCAGAATTCAAAGGAGCAAATGCAAAGACAAAGATCACTGCAAATGGCATTTCACTGGGGAGCAATGTGTCCAACTGAAAACACGTCTCGCTAGAATTGCCCACGGGAGAAGAGAACCTTGCAAATGAGCCATGCACGGTGTATGCAGGGTAATTATGCGAGACTTAATTAAAGGAACATTAGTGGCATTTCGATATTCATAAAAATGATAGGTTTAGCCTGTTGTTATGGAGGGATTATCTGATGCTCAGAGAAAAGCTGCTGGAGAAGCCTTTCAGTTCATTATCGGTGACTGTGTGAGACATGCAGAGCTGCTGAAACAAACCTCTTCTCCGGTTAAGTAGTACGTGGCCAACAGTCCTCCAATGTAGCGGATGTTCACCTCAAACAAGGATGCTTCTCCGTTCTGAAAATACATAATGACACACTTGACTGCAAAGTCTGCGCGCACAAATGGCAGCGAAGGGGAACAGATTGGAGGCAGATACTTGAGTCTCCCAGCCCTCACCCACAGCGTAACGCAGCTTTTCGTCAAAGATCTCACAGCGCTTTATTTGCTCCACAGTGACAGGTGGAGCCTGAAGGGAAGAGAAACACCCAAACCGTCCATTTATCACCAGCTGACAATATGTAAATCAGCGAGGGCAGACGTACTGTCCATCCATCCCATCCTGTCTCGGGTTATGCTTTGCAAAAAGCTGTGAGTTACTTTAGGGGAAAAATCTGCCCCTTGAAATGTTTTATTTAAAGAGAAAATTGTACAGCCACATGGAAAAATTGCTTTCTCCATTTTCTTGGGAACAGGGCAGTGCGTTAGATGGACGTAATGCTCTTCCTGCATTAGGTGGATATTTTCGGTCATTCAAGGACTCAGCCCAGCCTCCAGGCTCAGAGCGGACCACAGCCTATAGGGTGACTGTCACGGGCGTGCTTACGGGGAGACAGACTGCGTGATGGCCATGTGCCCCCCACCACAGACAGCAGACACAGATGGATATGGTTCACTCAATCTCTCAAGAACCCACTCACCTGGAACACGTTTTGCTTGACCTGCTCAGGTGATGATCAGCAAATGTCAAAATGATGGCATTCAAAATGTGCCTTTAAAAAATACCCACTCCTGGCCATTGAATCTGCGTGATAAATGATTCCTGCCCAAATGCAAATGAATAAAAGCAAAACCCAGAAAGATCTTCCACCAACACAGTAAGGAGGGCAAAGCAACGGGGCACTGGAACCCCCGGACTAGCCTGCCCTTCCAAATACCTGCAGCTTACACACCAGAGCAAGTGCTTCCTGGGGACGATGACTGAAATTGCATGAGAGAGATCATGGCACCCAGTTTCAAACAGAGCCTGCGGGCCTTGGAGTCCCTGCCTCACTTTTCTGGACTATTAGAGTTCCCTGTACAGAGCCAATTTTTAATTAATTTCCCTCCTTCTCTCCCTCTGCTGTGCTTTCTGACTCCACCGATCAATCCATAGCATTCATTCTTGTCTTTGCAGATCAATCTATTCTGCAGGCCAAGATTAAAAGCTTTTATAAAATCCAGATAAATTATCTCCCAGTTGATTTTGTCCCTTGTTTATTGATTCAGTAACGTACTGAGAGCATTCACCAAATTTATCAGATGTGGTCTTCCTTTTACGAATACATGAATGCCAGTCGTGCCCTCCCAAATGATGCTTTTCTATAAAGGCAGCTGCACGCATTGTTCCCACGGGGAGAACAATTTTTCACAACAGACAACTAGGCTGGCATTAAAAAAATAAAAGTTTGAACTGCACTCTGGTTTTAACATTCACCGTACGCCACTGATGTGACCCCATCAGCTCCCTCAAGAGAAACACAAGAGCTGGCTTGGAGACCAGTAGTCAGAGCTGTGGCAAGCTGGCCACCAAGCAAGATAAAGGACAGCATCCTTCACTTGATAGCACAGCTGGTTTGATAACCCAGACCAAACCACAAAAAACATTAAACACGGAATCTCATTTTCAGCCAGGCACTAAAAAAAATAAAAATCACTGCACTGAGTGGTTTCTTCCCCCGCAGACTTTCTAGTTCCCCTCCCCAGATGATTCTTAGAGAAGATTGTGATCAGAACTGGCCAAACACGCGGCGTTCCTGTGACACAGGCAGGCATTCCCAGTAACCGACTCACCACATTCAAGTCAAAGCTGTTCTCCACCCACTTCTTTGCTTCTTGGAATTCCTCCTCGAGTTCCATGATGTACAGAGTATCCAAGGCATCTACCACCGTCGCTCCTCGAAGGCCTCCTGCATTGCAAACAGAACAGCGTGATGAAACCCGGCACACGCAGTCGTCTTTAGCTCTAGACCCATCTGCAGGAGCTGGGACGGGCAGCAGCTTCCAGTCCCGGTACTGGGGATGGCTGGATGGGATCCAGACTGGCCATGGTCTAGGCTAACAGGACTAGTGACATCTGCTACCCAAACCGGGCTGCTTTGCAGAGCCTGAACTTTCCAAGGCCTGACACTGCTGAAAGATTATCCCCAAGGAACAGCTCAGCATCACCAGATCAGCAGCTTCAAGCCACCAGTCACGACTGCAAGCCTTGGCCTTGTTTTCCACTCTTGTCTTGGCCAAAGTGGTCAGGCAATTCCAGCCCTCATCTTTGTTCAGCTGTAAACCTAAACTCAGCCTCTTTCTAACCCAGGTACAAGCACAACCCTCTCCTCAGTGAGGGAATTGTATTTTTATTGTGCAAGAGCATCCAATACAGGACTTTCACCGTTCTGCCCTGATGCAGAGCTTGTCATCTGGGGCACAAAGTACTTCTGCACAGTGCCATGACCCAGGGCTTCCCAGGAATACACAAAACACAGCCTCATCTGGCAGCAGAGAGACCAGAAACTAATCTCGATGAATCCTGAAGAGACAGTGGGTGACTTTGGGGACAGCTCCCTTCCTTTGGCTCACAGAACAGTCCCTGTGAGCACACTCACCATATCCAGCAGATGGCAACGGGACACACGCAGACGAAGCAAATGCCAACCAAGTACTTGGACCAACCATGTCGTTCATGTAAAAAAATTGCACGCCAAGTGTTGTCTTACGCAAATGGACTGTAGGAGAACTTCCAGTGAGACAAATGCCGTGCCATGCCAAGAAAACTACGCAGGGTGTGCAGGCAGACAATCTCGTAGCAGTTGAGATGAAATGAAACTAGAGATGTTAACAACTCTGGGTTTGGAACATCGCAGTGCTAGAGAGTGATTTCTGTTAGGGTTCCCCAAAATTATTCCTAGCATGAGAAAGCAAAGGGTGTGAAGACCATCACCTCCCTGAGCAACTCGGCAAACACAAACCTCATGTGGAGGATTCCAGTTTGGCACCATCATCAGTCATCCCCCTGCGGATGTAACGCAGCGGGGACACGGGCATGAAGCCGCCTCTATACGGGTGTCAGCGAGCTGCACGTGGGGGCCACACATACACACGCTGCTCAGCTGCAGCCATGTTCCTGCCCCGAGAGCCAGACCTCTTGGAGTCTCTGGCAGCAAAGACGCTTGGATGAGGTTCAGGTTTTGTTTCTGCAGGAGAAACTGCTCGTACTGGCTCTGTCCCTGTCACCCCCCCTTTCCAGTGTAACCACAAAGAGTCACGCACACTACTCGTGCCCAGGGGTTTTCCTGAGACGTATTTCTGTTTGGCTCAGGTCAGTTCCTTCTTCTCACTATCAGACTTTAAAATACTGCCCCAAATTCCCCCCCCTTTCTCAGCCTTTTATTGCATGCTCTGACCAGCTCGGCACTTTTGCAATACCTTCAGCGTTCCTTCACTTCCAGTTCTGCTTAAGAGAGGAAAACCCAGCTGGATGCACTGTGGAGGAACTACTGCAGAGGGCAGGGGAAGGCAAAGGTGAGTCAGGGCTCATGAACCTTAAGACTTTGGTCTTTTCTTATTAAGGACAAAAAAGCGACTGTGTCTGATGTACGTCATCCCCTTTCCCCAGAGGAGAAGTGCTCAGATCCACCGATTTCACGCAGGGCTGGCGCTTTCAGCATTCCTCTCCAGTAAGAAAGGCATCCTGCCTTATTTTGTTGATGTTCCAAGATTGCAGTTTTGACACTTTTCAGCCAGTCAGCACATCATTGCTTTAATAAAAACCCAACCAAGACTTTACTGCTCAGCTACAGATTGCTGGCTTTCGGATGCTGTCTGCATCAAAAACAGGGGCTGTGGAAAAGGGATGAAGGCAGTGGAGGCAGCCTCTGGAAACCCATTTGCTCCTGCAGGCTTGCAAAATGATCAGCTAACTGGAGCTATCTCCAAGAGTGCAATAGATGGAGTCAAACGGCCACTAGATCAACTGGTGGCTTCTAAAAAACCAACCGAGACGATGTTTGTATGGCATGTTTTCCAAAAGCACTGACCATGAAAAACAACATCATCGCAGTCAGAGCTGCTTTTATCAGCCTTAATGATTCTTCAATATTAATGATGATGTGATTCTTCTACACTTTCCTATTAGCAAGGAGACAAGCACCAGCTCAGAGCAGCACGGACGCAGGCAAAACATTTTAAAACGAGAAGGAAAGGCAATGCTGCCCGAGGCACAGCCCATTACTGTGATATTCTGAGAGGAACACTAACAGGCTCAATTTAATTTGATGATATAATCCACAAAGCCTTCCATAATCTGCAGAGAGACAATGAGAAAAGTTGGATTTGCTCAAACTAAACAGAGACAAAGAGACAATAAAGTTACAATTTTCTGCGATGATTAATTGAAGTGAAAAATATTGCTTGAATTTACAGAGCCTTTTATGTTTTTAGCGAGTAAGGCATTTAAACACACGAAATGCATCGGGGATTAGGAACATGCTCGGATCTTTGCTAAAGCATAGCCCGGGGTTGCTTAGCTTTCCTCCCCTGTATTTGACAAAGTGGAGGGCAAACCTTGCTTCCCCGCTGGTTTGTCTTTGTGGCATTTTAAACATTTGTTTTAAATATTCCCCTCACCGCTCTGTATCTGAAGCACTGCAGGCTGTGTGTTTTGTACAAGGATCTCGTTGATGTTTCCTTTCTTCTGCACCAGCTTTGAAGCAACTGCAAAATGCATGGCTGACTTTTTTTTCCTGCAGCTAACAAAGTCTATCGCAATACCAAGAGCTACCGTGCCAGCTCCGGCCACCTCGTGAGAATGATAAAAAAGATCCTCCTTCCCCTCCACACCACGCAGAGAGCAAACCAGGACATCACCGCTGTGTCTCTGTCACCTGCCAGGACAGAAAGGACATCTAAGAAGGACCTTGACGCCCCTGCGCGCTCTGGTATGTTACATCTTCACTACAGGAGCATCTTCATTCCTTCCTGCTCAGACTTTGCTTCATCAGACCACGGCAGAGCTCGTGATACGATGTCCGATGGCTCTGATTGTACTCAGCTGTCAAAAGATGGTGCTGTACGTACCCTGGCATGTTTATTACAATATCTATGCACCCATTGAGAAAGGTGGTGAGATTTGCTTGACATGCTGCTTACTTGGAGAGATGCTGAAAAATAATCACCTTTCCAGATCTACACATTATAATGTGAGGGATGTAATCAAAGGGGAACAGCTTCAAAAGGAAAAGGAATCAAAACCCACTCTGTCACTTTTGACTCTTGCTGACACTCCCCTCTCTAAATTCCTGGTTTCAGCCTCATTGTACTCTCTCTGAGAGAGTTTTAAAGTAAAAACCAAGAAACCCTCAAAAGAAACCCTTCTGAAAGTACCCAGAAAAGGCAGCAGTGACTTCTAAGCAGGACTCTGTCTGAGATTCTCCCTGTCTCCACAAATCTAAGGCCCCGTGTGCTATAAAAAGCCTCCCTTCATCCTGCTGCAGAACTGGCCTGGAGCAGAGATACACCTCTCCCGGGAGAGGCAGGGTCGCCGCGCCGATGCCAAAAGGGCAGGAGAGTCTATCGGACACAGCTCTGGGGTCCACACCAGCTCCTGCGCTGCCCAGAGAGAGCCCATGGCCCTTCTGAACAGGAAAGAGGAACCCTCCACCGGGACCAGTGGGAAGGACCGGGACCTCAGGCAGAACCAGGGATGCTCGTCCAGCGGCGTTTCTAACCGGAGGACTTCATGGCAGCTCTTGTGACAGCAAGTGGCAGGGTCTCTGCCTGGAGTCTCATCTGTGAGAGAACAGCAACGCCCCAGAAGAAGCAGCTCGTGGCAGCAGGACAAAGGTTCATCTCTTCTTGAGCTGTACCACCCCGTCCCGAGCCACAAGTGTATTTGCTCTTTTGTGCACGAGAAGAATGGAGACATCCATGGAGGCAACAAGGCTGCTCTGTTCCTACTCCCACCCACCCAGAGGAACCAGCACCCACCCGCTCGCTGGTGAACACTGCCACAGCAATCACTAACAAACGGTACATTAATTAACACAATGCTTGTGAAAGGTGCTGAATGGAGCCCTCCTCGGAGAGGAGACGGCATTGTACACACACCGTACCCCCACGGCCTCAGCGGGAATGTGCTGGAACGCCGCTCTGGAGGAACAAGACCCTTCAAGCGGTACAGTCTCAGAAGGTCCTTCATGGGCGTTAGTGGCAGTGCTGTCTCAAAAACCCACCGATAAAGCCTGTATCAGCTCGTTCTAGTCTGGGGTAGATAATCTGAACAGAAGGACTCATCCACTTCTCCGATCCCTAACTCATCCCTGCTGCCTGCTAGCTTAGGGGTTCATTAAAGCCACTCGCAGCAAGAGTTTATAAGACAAAAAACAATTCCAAAGGCTCATTAGGAGGTTTAATGTGTGCTCACTGGGCCAGAAGGGGAACACGTCGGAAGACGTACGCCAGTCTCAACAACCAAAGAAACCAGGGGGTACAAAAGCCTGCCAGCCTACTGCAGCACCGACCCGAGGCGGGGAGTGCCAGCCGGCGAGGGGCAGCTCTCTCCGAACCCACTACAGAGCACGGGGCAGAGGAAAAGAGCTGCCACCGCAGCCTGGGGCTCCTCTGACCCCGCACAAAGATCTGTATGAGCCCACGGGCTACGGCCAAGAAGCGTGGTCCCGAGCACAAGCTGAACAAGGATTGCGAAGGGTGAAAAGCTCCAAGTTAGGTGAGTGGGGACCCTACGAGTGACAGCCCCTGGCACAGCAGGAGAGTCACCCATTTGCACATGTCCCACAGGCCTGGTCTCCAGCTCCTGGCGAGTGGGTGGAGGAGAGAAGGAAACAGCTTTCTCCTCAATGGAGAGTTTAAAGGGAGGCCATGAGGGCTGATCAAAGGTGGGGAATAGCTACCCTACCAC